ATTCATATTATACATCAGCTCTTCATGTACATCAGCCTGGCGTTTGGTACGCTTTGGTGTGGGAATCACACTGGAAATCATTCATGGCTTGTGACCAGTTGCCTTCTTCAGTAGTGACCAACCTTTACTAAATTTCGAACTCTAATCCCAGGGTCTGAACTATACAGGCTTCTTCAGGAATATTTATATGTCGAGGTGACTGTTTTATATAGATTAAAAAAATCAACTGCAGATACTGAAAAAGACAGTATTCCTTCAAACCTTGGGACTTGCTCCTTTTCTTTTCCCCTTCTCCAGACTGGTTCCATGGCTGCTTTTCCCCTTTCTCAAGAAGACTTATTGGGCTGAACGCCCCCTCTATAATGTTCCTCTGTAAAACTTCACCACTGTGTTCTTTCTCGCTGTTCGGGAACTGCTAATCTAGAGACCAAATTCCTAAATCAAAAGAAGTTGAAGTCTATTCTTTTGAAACTTCAACAGCAGTGTTCTTTCTCTGTTGATGACCCAAGGTACGATTACTGTGAAGTGATAAGTAGTCAGTGCAGGAGGCAAAAATTAATACTGGCAAGAATTTGTGAGTGTGTGTCAAATTCTGCTGCTGAGACATTTTTTAAATCCTCTCTGCTTATATGAGATTATTTTTTGAAAAATCATTTAAAAATTATGGTTGATTAAAATTTTAGCAAAAGAAATAGGAGTAGATACGTATACGGTTTTAAGAGTTTAAGGGGTAGAATTCACTGAGTTTGATATATTGTGGAGCCTTAAGAACAGAAGGCTCAGGGAAGATCTTATTGATATTTACCACTGCCTAATCGGAGGATGTGGAGAGAGCAGAGCTGACCTTTTCTTAGAGGTGCACGGTGGGAGGATAAGAGGCAATGACACAGGCTGGGACATGGGAAATGCCAACTCAATAAAAGAAAAAACAATTTTAACATGAGAGTTTTCAGACATGGGAAGAGGGGTCCAGAGAGGCTATAGAAATCTCCAGCCTTGGAGATGCTCAGAATTTGTCTAGACAAGGTGCACAAGCAACCTGTTCTCACTAGACTTGCTTTAATCAGGAGATTTGACTGGATGACTTCTCTCTGAAGGTTTCTTCAAACCTACACGATTCTGTGATGCTGTGATTTAATCTTGGTTTTGAGTATTCAAAATATAATTTAAAAATAAATGATGAAATCATATTATACCTGGTGCACCAGTTACTCTGTCTTTCCTTTTTTCCTCATACTCTTAAAAAAATCAATATTTCCTGTTTAGATAATTTTGTTAATTGGGAAGCATAAGGCAAAGCCCCCTATCCGTCATCCAAAGACCGACTCTATCCATCATCCTTAATCTCGCCATTCTTTTCAACCTGCAGATGAATTTCACCTATGTTTTCTGTATTCTTCATTCACCATTTTCTTAAATTTTTATATTGATTTGGTTGCTTCCCCGCCCCCCCCATATTGCTATTAACAAGTCCTACTATTGAACTTTTGCATCTTTGAGGAGTGCGTAAAGGTAATTGTTTCAGGATGTTGGCCTCAGGAAGAGAAGCTGGCCTCTGAAGACCTTTTTCCTGCATGTCAACTAGCCAGAATTGTGGAAGAACTGTAGGCTAGAAGTATTTTTCCTGGACAGTATGGTTGGATCATGATCCAAGAGAAAATCACTCTAATAATATTGAAGTAGCTCATGGAACCCCTGGTCATGGATCAGGACATTACTGTTCTGGTGGTTCTATGAATACATAACAAAGAGGCGATCTTTGCCCCCAAAGAGTTTACGGTCTAAATAATAAAAGCAGCAACAGATCAAGTCAGATCAGTAAAGAGATATAAATAGAAAGGACGGTACTGCTCAGAGTAACACACTGATCTAAGTCTTAAGAGACACGAACAATCTGATTTCAGCTTTATGTTAGTAACATGGAAGACATTCATTCAGCTGAGCAGGATATTCCTGTTGTTATACTGCTACAATGGGAAACTGCATTTGACGATTTTCCAGAGGCATTGAATGTTTACTCAGTCCCTTGAACAATGGCCAAATGCTCCTAGCCTTAACGTGAGATGGTCCTTTTCTTTCCCGGTGTTGACTATGATTGCCTGCCTTCTTGGCTAGGGAAGTCATTTTGAAGCCACCCAAGAAAAAGTGTTAATTTTACATAGAAATTCTGAAAAAAATAAGATTCTACCTCCATGTTAGCTGTAAGCAGCTGACTCCAAAATGTCTATGTCGGTATCAGAGGTGCTCTTCATAGTTCTGTTCCTAGGCAGTGCTAACCTTTTTACCAAGTTTGAGGGTAGGCTACACTGCTGTCAGAAATATGTAAGGCAGTGCCTTACTGCATGTGTTTCCTGAATACTCAGGAGTGAGATGCTTTGAAAGATGCAAATCCCTGTTTTTTCTCTTCTCTGTTCCTGGCTGTATTTATGTAGCATGTCAGGTCTTCTGTAACATTCAAGCACTTTCTTCTAGTTGCAAATTCAAATTCATACTGAAAGTGATACATTTATAGAAATGAAATAAGTAGAAAATATGACAACTGCTGCAAAAGATTATTGAGGTTTGGGTGACACACATTCTCCCAATTAGTAACAGGTGAATAGAAATTGTTTTTTACTCCACTTTGTGGTCGGGGAGAAACAAAAGATTCATCTACTATTGAAGGTGCTGAAGTAGGAGAAAATTAAGATTGTTCTCATTCGCCTTGCTCTTAGAAACCAAAAATTCATAGTTGCGTTTTTCTCAGCTCAGCCATTTTGTGCTGAAGCTTGAAAATATGTGCATCTTCTTTTAAAGCCAGTCTTAAATAGTATTGAAGGATTCCCAAATGTAAATAAAAAAGAGCATGTCCCATGCAATTCTTGGGCTGTGCAGGCTTCTGTGGGTGATATTCAGTGCCTGCTGGACTGGAAACTGAACTAGCTTGTAGCAGGGGAGCAGCTGTGAGGTGGAGAAGTTTCATGTTCTGTTTTAGGGTAAATAAATCTTCTCTGTGATTACATTCTTTGTGATGCGAATGTAATTGGACTGGTTTTACTTGAGGATGGAGAAGAGGGATGT